CTAGAGCATAAAAGAAAAATAATGGACTCGCCCTAGCTCGCCTATATGCGCCCTGCGTGAATAAACAATATCCTCGTTGACTTCGAGTTTTAACAGATCTCGGGGAGGGAGGGCGTTTATCCAGGTAAGTATCTCACTCATAGACTAACAATATTACTACTGATTTGTTTAGTCTATTTCGCGATTACTTACCTGGATAAACTGATAAATGCAAGATGAGCACCGGTGGAGAGAGAGATCAATCACAAAGAAGGTACATACCTAACGTGAATTTACATTTCTGTTGCACTTTCTGTCAACATACGTAGATTTAATACATGTGATATTGCAATTCTACCATTGTTTCTTTGGAATTATGCAGAATATTGAGTTTCTCTTACCTGGTTTTATATGAACAAAAACAAAAATGATATTTTAAGCGGCTTTATTTTTTTTTTATACAATTTCAGACAACATAATCTGTAACACACAAGTGGATTGGGAGAAAAGTTTAACCCCGCTCTATGAGATCAACAAGCGATCTTTTGCTGGATACTTGAATGAAATAGATCTGAGAGCTACACTTAAGTCTGTCGTTAATTTGTATAATATTTATGATAACCCGAGTACGCGTGTTGATCCAATATCTAATGACCCAATTCAATTTATAACGAGAATGGTTAATCTTATGGGTGACATGTTGAAGTTACTCTTCGCAAAAGATAATTGGCCGCCAAATGCGTCAAGTACTTTGCCTAAACGACGCCAACAAATATTTAATGCTGTGAGATCATGCTTTGATAACATCAAGGACATGAGCGGGATTGTATGGACTGGAAGTACGAGTGAAGGCTTTGCAATAGCAGATAACAGTGGCCCTGGCACACCATATGTGGACGATGAAATGGATCTTATGATTCCTCTTGCTATGGCCACTGAAGATTCTCAAAGCAACATCTGTGAAGATGTTGCAATAGATAAGCAAACAATTACTATATTTGCTAATGAACTCAAAATAAAAGACAACGAAACGAGAGACTTTAAAAAAGAATCTCTGGTAACTGAACTGGAAGAAATCGGAAAGCATCAGCAGTTGAAAAAATGCCCTCCTTTTATTTGGCGCCCTTCGCATCATCCTGGTTATGTGTCTGTATTTATTCCAAAGAGTATGCAGTCTTACATAAGTAAAGAATTTATTAAGTACCTTTGTTCACAGTTAACATCTGTTGGTGGTAGTGATTTGATTTTGACGCGTTCTAAACTACTTGCCATTCAAGAGGAATACATCAGAAAACGACTTCCTGCAGTACAGTCTGATATCAAGTCTACTAGTGCCAAAAGCGACGATCAATTTCAAATATTAAAGCTTGTCCAAGAGGGGCCCGTGCAAACTCTCTTGGTGTGTTACCAACTAAAAGAAGAAAAGCAACCAAAGTGTCTTATGGAAGGAATGAAAGAAGATGGTAAGAGAAAAGATATTCATCCATCCGTCCCTCCCTCCCTTCGTCAATTCATTCATTCATTGGTTAATCCATCCATCCCATCCCATCCCATCCTTTCCATTCATTCCATCCCACCAATCAATCCCATCCATCCCATCCAATCTTTCTCAGCCCATCCATCTTTCCCATCCCATTTAACTCATACCATACACCTTACCGTATTTCATTCCATCCATCCCATCCCACCCATCCATTCCATTTCATTCATCACAAATCCTGTCTCTTATACACATCTAGATGTGTATAAGAGACAGCCCACTCATCCATTCATCCATCCATCCACCCACCCACCCAAAGAGTAAAAGAAAAATTAATAAAATGTTTAAATAGTTCTGCTACACCTGACTCGATAATGAGTCTAACTTATTCTGGAATGGTGTTATGGCACGAATGAGAAAGAATCTACAAAAATGTTTTTACATAAACAAATTGATTTAATTGGTATATATGTTATAATAAATATTGAGATTAAAAATTTCAAAAATAAACCATTGTTAACATTTATGTACCAATAGACCAAAGCTTGGTGACTCTTTTCAGATTTAAATGAAAAACTTGAAGTTATTAATAACAATGAAAATAAGAACATTATTATAGGAGGAGATTGGAACTGTATTCTGAATCAAAAATTAGACCGAAAGGGAAGTGCATCTACACTTGACAGTTCAGTTAATAAATCAATGAAATTAATTTCTATATGGAGAGAAAAATTAAACGAACATTTTACATGGAGAAGAAAATGCAGGTATCCGAACGTCTTGATTATTGGCTCAGTTTGGAGGATCTGTTAAATCAGTAGATATAAGACTAGCAGTTTTAATTGACCATTAGAAATAATTACCATTAACTTTGTCAACTGCAAAAAATGACCAGGTATCTGGAAATTCAAGTAATAAAAATTATTTTGAATTTAGACAGAACTAGTAAAACATATATGAAATTGAAGCTAAGAACACCGATTAGACCAAGGGATATGGATTAATTTTGGAAAAAGGAATAAAAAATATTGTTGGGTTCAAAAAAAATATAATGGTTGTAAGAAACAAAATAAAAATATTACAAAAAATGATATTTCAATTCGAAATTCTTAACAAAGAAATTCTATACTTCTCCTATGTTTATAAACACACATGACTGAAAACAAAATACCTGACTACCTTAAAATTCTGTCAGATATAGAAATAACATTTGTAAGTGCGAAAGATAGCTCTCGCTCTGAAATTAATTTAAACAGGTTAACAACCGAGTTTTACAGAACATTCTAGGATGATATAAAGGATTTTCTTTGTGATGCGAAAGACTGTCATAAACACAACGAATGAGTGAGTGTTATAAATCTTTTGTTGAAAAAGTGTAATATTTAAAACCTTGATAACTTGAGACCGATCGCTCTCTTAAATGTTGATATAACTAATAGCAAAAGTTCTAAGTAACCGTCTACAAAAATCATTAAATCATACTTTGCAATGAGCAGAAAGCATATATAAAAGACAGATTATAGGAGAAAATATTAAACTTACCTTAGATTTAATGGAATAAACAGAGAAACAAGGAGTGGTTGTATTAATTGATCTTCAAAAAAGCTGTTAATAAAGATAAATCAATTGTTATTTTTATAGTGAAATCGTCAGGTGTGTTCCACCTTCGGCATTATTATTTATCTTAGTGACTGTAATGACGTCCTCTGTGTTTCTGGAAAACCTGAATTGTTTAAGTTATTGTTGAGTTACCAGCTACTGTTAATAAATCATGTTGAAGTCGCTCAAATACTACAAATTTGGCGATGTCTCTGTAATAAAATTAAATAAGTTAAAAACACAAAAGTAGAAATTGTATGCATAACAGTAATAAATCAATTGGGTGACAGACCAAGTGAAAATACTTAGTGTTTATATAGGATATGATAAAGCACTCTGTGAAATGACATCTTAAAACTTAAATACTATCTTGGCAGAGGAAATCTTAGATATTTTGGAAGATCATTAATTATTACTTGGTTTATTTAAATTAATATTATATTGCATCCATAACTAACCGAAAGATTTGCTTATATATTGTCAATAACTAGATTTTTTTAAAATTTCATTTGGATTTTGTTATTTAATCAAGCAAAACACGATGATAGGAGGAGAGGCATCAAAATGCCATATTTTGAATTAAAGGTACAAGCGCCTAAAATGATGTAGGTCAAGAAATTATTAGAAGCTGAAGATGCAAAGTGGAGGTATATTCCTTTGTTTTACATCAAAATGCATGGATCTCTTTATGTGATGTTTAACATGTCCAACTGCACATTGTTAAATGTTGACATACATAAATGCATGCTTAAATTTTATAAATCAGTTATACTTTCTATAACGCATACCAATGAGAGTGTTAGTAAGCAGCCTTAATTTCGTTCTAAGGTTTTAAAACAACCTATATGGGAAAATAAGTATAGTTACATATCAAAAGAGTGGGAGTGGTTGGCTCAGCGGTTGTGTTTCGGTCGCTTAACCCCAAGGTCAGCGGTTCGAACCTTCGTTCTGCATTTTGCTTGTGTTCTTGGACAAGGCACTTTACCTACTTTTGTCTCCCTCCACCCAGGAGTGTAAATAGGAGGAAAAAAGGCGGAGTGAAAAGTGACTACTGGTCACCCTACTACAAAATGCCAAGGCTTACTGCAATGGTCTAACAGCTCTTTCCCCTACGTTCAATAATGAATAGGGGACTACCTTTACTTTACATATCATATCTTTACTCTTGGGTGGATTTTGAATAAATAAAGTTAAAGACGTGGTGAAATAATACATTATTCAGTCAATACGATGTCATTAAGATTTTAATTATATGATACTGAACGTAGGCCTATCTGTGTAAACTTAGGCGCCTTATCTGGTATGAAACTTAGGTCTATCTGGTATCACCTCAGGTCTATCTGGTATCAATGTATTTGGTCGGTTCAAGCCAAAGGCTAAATAGTCACAGCAATGGAATATCAACCATTCAGATAGGCCTAGGTAACAGTCCTGTTACTCGTGTGGAAATTTGCAAACTCTTAGGAATAACCATTGACGAACACCTATCCTGGAGTAAACACATTGAAAAACACACGAGTAAAGGCTTTAAACGGTTTATTAATGTTAAAAAGATGTAAATATGTAATGCCAAATGATATCCTAAAAACTATTGCTAATTCCATTGTATCACCTTACTTAATCTATTAGTAGTTATTTGGGGAAACTGCGGTTCTTCGGTTTTGAAAAGAATACAAACTGTTCAAAATAGGGATGCTAGATTGGTGTGTAACCTAAATTGGGATACACCAAGCAATATAGCCCTTAAAGAAGCAAATTGGCTCTCTTTATCCTAACGTGATGAATATGAAAGTTTCATAATGATTTCCAAATTCTGTTGAAACAGGCGCTCAGTTATTCACAAAATAATATATTCAAAACAAATACTTTTAATTACAATTTCTAGCATAGGCCTACTGCAACAAATTATTTATTCCCAAACCAATCACAAGTTTACAAAAAACGTAGCATTTCATATGGAAGTGCAAACTATTGGAATTTATGCAATTTTGACAAAATGAAATTTTAAAAATTTCATACCGCACTTTCCAAAGTAACATTATTCAAATGATTAAAAAATATAATATAAAACTGAAAATTTAATAATAATAATAATAATATAAATAATAATGAAAATAATTATAAATGATATATTATTAAACGATTTTCCACCTAATGTGCGAATTTTTAATTGTTTTGTAATTTGAATTTCTTAATGTTTTGATATTTAAATGTTTTAAATGTAATTGTTTGAAGAATTATTCTCCACAAACATCTATACGATTCGTTGATAAATCTATCATTATGTAATTGACAGGCTCTGTGTTGCAGTTCGACCAAACAGTGGATGTAGCTATTGCATTGAAAGGAGTAAATTGGCCAACTATCGCCAACCCTTGGGTATCAAGATTGCGAGATTGGCCTGAAAAGAGAATTGTGGATAAGATAATAAAGGACGGTTATCATATTGTTCCCAAGTGCTATCCTGGTGGTAGTGGTATCGACGTAGAATGGCGACTGTCGTTTTCTGTGGCTGAACGCACACTGGCACATACATTCACAGATACTCAACGAAAATGCTACTTAATATTTAAAAAACTGTGGAGAAAGTATCTAAAGGTAATCAGTTGCGAGTGTCCATTTTAATTAAAAAGAAAAAATAAATCAAATACCAACCCACACGGTTATTGTCAGGATTATTTTACACATGGTCGCTTTCACTTTCAATACATTTTTTCTCTTTTGTGGGATAACCCACCTTTATTTTCCATTGTCTGTTTTTTCAATAATTTTCTGTTTTATACTTATCTATATTTCCTTAAGTGAATAAATATGAAACATGAGTATATATGAGTATCCTCATATTTACAAAAGTTACATTTTTCATTTTTTTTTGCCAATTTCACAATGCACAAATCTTTAAGCAGAATTCGCTCACTCAATCATGATACAAATTATGAATATCATCTCTTTGCAAGTACATTTTTTGTTTTGTTTTGTTTTGTTTTTTAACATAAAATCTGCACATAAAGTACCGAAGTTTAATCTGTACTAATTTTTATGGACACATTTTATCATGAATTATTATAGACGTCACATTAGGGATATTCATATATTTACATTAAAAAAAATTCTGTATAAATAAAATTACGCCCCTTGTGTTCATGCTTCCAAAGAATTTCTTATGAACTGACGTTCAAACCACAGTATCATGAAATCCATGTCACCTGTGTCACCTCATACGTACACTCCATCATGAATTATGAAATACGTCACATCTTATTTTCTGATATATGCATTTTTTTCTTGTGTGTGAGCATCCCAGCTTCATTTCATGTATTTAATAGTTAAATCAATAATATAATATATGAAAAACGTTTTCGAATCAGAGGCTGATGAAACCAGCATTACCCCAATAATAAAAAAAAATTAAAAAACAGCTTTACAACAATATTTAACTATAATAATTTCAATCGTATTTGTTTATGTTTTATATTTTAATTAAAGTAGAATTTAGAACTCAGATCATTACACAGAAGATATAACCTATAACTTGTCATTAAACAATCTATCAATTATACATTAAACACGTTCGATTTTTGATTTTATCAGTTATGTCCGGTAAATAATAATATTCATATTATACCGTATTTATTTTTCATGTTTTCCTTTTTTGTTCTAAGATAAAGTCAATACAGTATAATAAGGGAAATTAAACAAAAACTTAATGTGTACTTGATGGATCATTTGATCGTTTTGGGTACTCTATACATGCACACAGCAATACCCATTATAACTTTAAGATAGTATTCTGCACTTTTTTTTCCATATTTCTTTATTCCTTACATTATTTATGAAAATTTCACATTTTATTCTTATTAATACAGAGTATTTAAAGGAGATCCAGAAACATTTAGTATTTGGTTTGTTCAGAGCAGATAAAATCCTATTTTTGCAAATTGTGTATGCAGCTGAAGAGTAAATGTAGTCGGATACTACATCTCCTGATCCAAGCACAAGTTTTTTGAAAGATACATCGTGTTGCCCCACGGCTCTAAAAATACTGCTGACTCTTTACTTTTTTAACATTACTGCAAATTTCTGTCTCTTTTATTTTCCAGACATAAAGTCTTTTATTAGTAGGCAATATTCGATGTAGCATTTTGTAATTAAATTGCGCAAGGCTACAACTTTTATGTAGCCAGCAAGATTTCCAATCAATGTTTTCATCACTAAAATACTTTTCCCATTTTCTATGACCATTGGGTAGGCCTACCACAAACTTTTCAGTTACAAAACATGAATATATAAATTTAGTGTTAACATTTATGTAATTAGTGCTAATAAAATCTTCATATTTTTCAATCAATCATGATGGCTGTGAAGTGCTTTAGTTATAAAAAAAAATGATAGTCGTGTACCACAACAGGATTACTATTAAGAAAAGGAACTTTGTGGGCAGGCCAGCATTATACTATAGTAATTCTCAAGCAACATTCCATGCCCAGGTGCTAGTTATGTCAGGTGATGTCCAACCTAACCCTGGACTTCAAGTAGACAGTGCCCGTGAAATTCACATTTACTACCAGAACATTCGGAGCTTGAAAATAAGATGGAAACATTTCATAGTGAACTACGAGGACATTTACTGGCAGATACAATCGATATTGTTGCCTTGTGTGAAACATAGTTAAATGAAACTGTTACTGATCCTGAAGTATCCCTTGCTAATTTCTCAATGTTCAGGAGAGATAGAGGTGATGGAAGGAGAGGCGGTGGTTTGTTGTTGTTAGTGCATAATAAATTCAAGTCTTCCCGCATTAGCGACGTGGAAAACGACAACCAAGAACTTATGTGGGTAGAAATTGTATTTTCCAACACAAAGAATATACTACTTGGGGTCTATTATAGGCCACCCGGTCAGAGTGTGCAATCCATCAATCAGTTTGCACATTCAGTCGAAACAGCATTGTACCAGTATCCCAACAGTATTGGATGTGATGTGATGATACTTGGGGATTTCAATCTTCCAGCTCTTGGCTGGGATTCATCTGGTCCTCACACCATCAATAACAATGACAGATTAGATATATATGAGTCAGCTTTTTATTGACACAGTATTAAATAGTAATTGCCTTTATCAGTGCAATACTTCCATAACATGTAACAATAGGATTTTAGACTTGGTACTTTGTAGCAAACATCTCGACACTTCTTTATTTTATGATTTACTCCATGCAGCAATTAAAGATCTGTTTAAACCAAAAAGAAAACTCCCACCTTGGTTTAATCATGAATTATACAAAGCTTTAAAACTTAAGGAAAAATTATTTAAAATTAAGAAAAGAACTAAAACTCGACTTGCTGTTGAAGATTTTAGAATGGCCAGAACAAATTTCAAAAAACTTTTTAATCAGCGGTACAGACAGTATGTTGATGCTCTTTCAAACGATCTGAACATCAATCCTAAGAGATTTTGGTTTTGGATTAGACATCACGGAAGTCATCAACATTGCCCTCTGTACTCCATTATCAAGGTCAAGTCCATGCCACCTCTTTGAAAAAAGCTAATGCTTTTAGTATCTACTTCAATTCATTTTTTAATACTAATAACAATAATAATAATCTCAATAATAAAGTCATCTAAGTAAGCTTTGTGTACATAAGGCCGTTGGCTGTGATGGTATCAGTAACCATTTGCTTAAAGCTGGTTCTGTTCCGCTTTCTGTTCCCTTAAAAGAATACTTGAATTATCTCTTTCCACGGGCAAATTTCCTGATGTCTGGAAACAAGCTAATATTTGTCCCATTTTCAAGGGGGTTCCCGTAATGAGATTACCAATTACCGTCCCATTTCACTGCTCCCGTCTCTTACCAAAATATTTGAACGTATTCTTTTTGATCAAATTTTTTCCCATGTTTCTCCTGTTTTAAGTTAATTTCAACACGGGTTTATTCCAGGTAGGTGAACTCAAACTAATCTTGCTAGTTTTTTACCCACCGCACTTAATGCAATCAACTCTAAATTACAATGTGACATTATATTCACAGATTTTTCCAAAGTTTTTGACTGCATTTCCCATTCTCAACTTATTTTTAAAATTCAAAAATTTGGTATCACCGGTCCCCTTCTTAGCTTAATTTCTGATTATTTCTCTAATCGCAGTCAACGTGTTGTTGTTGACGGTTTTTTGTTCTAAATCCAAACCCGTTCCATCTGGCGTCCCCCAAGGGTCTATCCTTGGTCCTTTATTTTTTAATTTATTCATTAATGATCTTCCTTATTTTGTCAATAACTCACATTGCCTTATGTACGCTGATGATCTGAAGCTGTATCGTATTGTCGGGACTGAGAGTGATGCCAGGGGTCTTCAGGAAGATCTTGATGCTGTTGTTGCATAGAGTCGGCACTGGGGTCTTTCTCTCAATGTCTCCAAATGTAAATCAATGTCTGTTTCTCTTAAATTAAAACCTTTATATTTTCCTTATAAAATTGGGGATATTGTTTAACACATTTCTGTTCATCGCAATCTGGGTGTCTTCATCGACTGTAAGCTTACATTTTGTAAACATATTGATCATCTTATTAGTAAGGGAAACAGAATGCTTGGGTTCATTTGGAGACATTGTAGAGAAATAAATAGCCCTGGTGCCATTATTGTCTAATATCGTTATTTAGTTACTTCTCATTTTGAATATTGCTGTGTTATTTTTAGTTCTGCATCCGAATCTCAGTTAATTCGCATCGATAGGATGCATCTTAAGTTTATTAGGTTTTTTGAAAAATGTTTTAATCGCCCTTGTAAATTAATGTGTCCTAGGTATAGATTTTTATTTCACGATATGGTTTTACTCTATAAATGTGTTAACTCGTACTTTAGTTGTGATCTTATACATCTGTTTGGTTTGCATGTTAATTCTAGAAGTCTTCGTTCCTGTTCTACCTTTAATGTCCCCTTTTGTAGAGTTGATGTCTGTAAACGTAGTTTTATTTCTAGACTTTCTCTTCAATATAATTCTCTTATTTTAACCTCTAATATTGACATTTTTCATAATAGTTTGTCTATATTTCGTCTATATATTTGATATATTTAAATTTTATATTTTTTACCAGCCTGTTAGTGGCGATGATTCGCTGTTGGTCTGATGAAATGAAATAAATAAATAAATATTTTTTTTTTATATATATATAATGTCTTTCCAATGGTTTGGAATGGCTTTAATCACACACAGATATTCATTTAACCAGTTTGATTTAAAATTTAATTTTTGCAAAAGCTCGTTTGATGTTAAAAATATTTTATTTTTAACAATATCCTTAATACAAACGATACGACTTTCAATCCAATGTTTATAATACAGAGATTTGTTTTTTAAATGTATTAGGTGGTTATCCCATATTTATTCATTAATAATATCATTATATGGTTGAACATGTTTCTTTGTGGATATGTTATAATCAGTACAGGCAATAATAACATCCTAGAATACAGGTATGTCATAGCAATCAATATTTATGTTCTTTAAACAACTCATATTAAGAATCAAATTTAGATTGTTAATCTTTTTAAGGAAGTACGCTGGAAAGAATTTCCATTTTGTATCGTCACAATCATTTAAAAGTCATTTTATCCACGAGCTTTTAAAGCTTTTACTTTTAATACAAAGTCTGGCACTTTTAATCCCCCTTCATTAAAATCACCAATTAATGTTTTTCTCTGTATTTTTTCCGGCTT